TACGTATTATGCAGGGCCCTCCAATGTATTGCTGATGCCATCCAGGGCAACAAGGGTTTTCTTTGTTGCCAGGGTAACAGACATTGTGTTCTCTGAAAATAGCAAATTAATTATGAGAACATTTAAACTTAGATTAATTTAATTTCACCATTAATGCAGTCTAAACAACCCCCTCATTGGAATAATAAACAGTAAAACCTATGTGCAGTGAACCATGCATCAATCTTCTTGCAACAAGTACAATGCATGTAGCCAAATGATAATGATTCTGCAGGAAAGTAGAAAACATTGTTTGACTTCTTTATAAGCTGTTTAACTTGATGTTTGGTGGCAGCAACCAACATGTCAATGCCATTATCTGTCCAACAAAAGAACAGATGATTTCACTTTTCAGATCTTCCCGACCTAGAAGCCACATTTTTAAAGAAAATTAAGATATAATAATTTAATAATTATGATTTAACTTTGACTAAATTTTGAATATTTAATGGCATATATCAAGGTTCTTTAAGCAACTTAAACAAAAAATCAATTTGAATTTCAACGTTTTTTGGCACGGCTATTCCTTGTCATAACTTGGTGTCATGATGGTGGTTAGGGCTGAATTTAACAGAATATTGAATAATTCAAACTGAGTGTCATACTATACATTCACTTACATGTTAACTGTATCAAAATACCAGAAACTCTGTAGAGCTCAGTTGAACCAGACCTGGTCTCAGTTAGAGAGGGATAATTGCCAAGGGATTATTGCTCTAATTAGAGAATCATTAGTTGGGGTTCCTAAAGGGGGTACCAATACTTCTAAAGGGAATCATTGACTGGGGTACCTAAAGGGGTACCAATACTTCTAAAGGGAATCATTGACTGGGGTTCCTAAAGGGGTACCAATACTTCTAAAGGGAATCATTGACTGGGGTTCCTAAAGGGGTACCAATACTTCTAAAGGGAATCATTGACTGGGGTTCCCAAAGGGAATACCAATACTTCTAAAGGGAATCATTGAGTGGGTTCCCAATGGGGAACCAGAATCTTTGTTGAGATTTTAGAGTGAAAAAACCTCTTCACACAATATCAATAAACTATTCTCATTCGGATGAATCCTAGCTCAATGATAAGTAACATTTTTGAAAAGATCTTAAAAATATCGAGGCATACTTTCTAAAAACATTTTTAAAGGCATTTTCAGATGATGAAGTTGTAATAAAGACTATTTTTCAAATATGGATGATTTTGACCCGTATAAGAACATGACCATAAAATATGTTATCCTCTCTAAAGATTAGAGACCACCCAACTAAAAATATATGTGGACCTCTTGTAGCAATGACCATGTTCAGTCTAATTACTTATAATATCTAAAATGCTAAACATTAGTATGCTCATTTTCATTCTAAACCCTGGTTAAAAATCTTTTCTTTTCTAATTTTTGCATACACTGAATGAACAATTTATACTGGTAAAAGTATTCCATTTTTTAAAGATTTTCTAAATTCCTTTATGCAGGGTTAAAGGCCCCTACAGATTAATTGTCTTTTTGTCTCTAACATTGAAAAACAAAATCTTCAGAAAGCTAAGAAAACATGTTCTTAACCATCGAAAATTTAGATGTATTGATAAAAATATAATTATTTTTAGGGGCCATATTGTCAACTGGAGGCCAGCAGCTGGTAGTACCAATGCAGAGGAGATCACTATAGATCATGCAGATCAGTGTAGACAGGCTATGCATGGCTTTTTAAAGGGAACTCCAATGGCTAGTTTGAGGGTTAGACAAATATTGTAGTAAAGGTTTCAAACTGGAGCTCTGTTGTAATAAATCCTTCAGTCTTCACACTGTACGTTCATAGATCTACGCTGAATGCTGGTAAGTAACTCAGTACAGGTTAGTATGACCACTAACATATGGCAGAATTAATAAAAAATTCAACAGTGATGACAATGCTTTACTGCGCTGGTATAAAATATCAAGGCTTAAAGGAAATCCTAACTTGTAACAAGTGACAAATTCTGAATTGAAAACTGTGCTCTTGCATATTTCAATTTTAAAAGGTGATCAATTCTATGAGCATTTTTTCAAGCAGAGTTTCAAGCCTTGCCGTTTTCAGAAAAAGGTTCATAACATAGTCTTTTGATGGTTCAAGTTACAGATCATTATGAATAATAAAAAAACAATTTTGGGGTTAGGCATCAGAAATATGAACACTTCCCATTTAAAGATATGATAGTACTTGCAGTTTCTTCAATGGTGTTGGGAAATGGTATGGTTTATTATGAAATCATGCATCTAATCATGGATTTAACAAAGTAATTGGAAAGTATATGGTTTTAAAGCTATTCCAGTTCTCTAGTCTAATAACAAGTTTCTGCCCACACATTTCTTTTATTGATAACAGTATCAACACATGACATGTGGCTCTATTTATATATCTGTTACATGTGTATGATGCAGAGGGGATAGGAAACTATACAAACTACTAACTCCATATCATATCATTTTTTCATTCCACTTTCTTGTTAGAGAAAGTAGATTTGATAGTACTGTCTGCATCGTTTTCTTCCTTACACATATTATATAGCTATATACTGTAAAAACTGTCAAAGTGAAATACCTTTGAGACCTCTAAAATATGTTCTACTTGGGAGGTGTCCCACTTATAGGTTCAGTTAACATTAACTCAGTTGGTTTTGGGACTCTGAAAAGTGTTTAACCTAGAGGTGTTACACTCTGAGGTTTCACTGTATGTTCAATAACCATTAAATTCATAAGAGGGGATTCTTTGAACTGATCTTTTAAGCCTTTACCCAATCAGATTTGTTAGAAAGTCACTAAGTTACATTTTCTACATATAAGTAGCTAAATATTACCTCTTAGAGGATAATATGGCTACTGAGGTAATTGTGATTCAGAGTTAACATTCAAGTTTTTACAAAGTGCACACATGTTTCCATCTGGTAAACCAATGCCAAAATGAAATACTTTATACACAGTAAAAATTTAATGTGTTAATTCCTGTTAAAGTGTTGATAGTTGAATCCCTTAATTCTGTATACATGTATATTCTTCCAAATTTGAAACTACTCATTGGTCGAGTCAATAACATTTTACTTCAGAAAATAAGATATAAATTTCCACAAAATATACATTTGAGAACATTGCATCAAGACTGTACAATCATTTGTAGTAGTCACCTAGAGTATAATTTGCTATAGATAAAATGATAAATGGCTGATGAAAATAATTGATTGGCAAATTATCGAACACTTGGTTACATGGGGAAGATCTTGAGAGATTAGATACATATTGCAGAGATTTCTTTAGAATGATAACAAAATGTGAATTTTAGTTAATAGACACTATTCTTGATTAAAAAGGATTTTTAATCAGAAACATTTTTTATCAAGTCATTTGACTAGCAAATTTAGCTTTCAGACTGCTATCAAAATAATGTGTTAATAAGTCAAAAAGTGCTCATCATTTTCTCTTGTTTGATTTACCTTGCTTTCATCATTTATCACAAGTCTTAGTTCTGTCTAAATGATATATTTTAAAGAGCAAACATAGCTCAACTATCAATTAGTATTATGTGTTATCCTTCAGGGTAATCTCAGTTTGTAAGGTCACTGTAGTTGGTTTGCACCCCAGGATTTCCTTTCTTAATTTACTTCAATAATTCTTTACACATTTTGCCTACTTGACAATATTTTATCTTCCATTAGAATCTACTGTAATCGCTAACTTTGAGAATGTATTCAAGACATACATGTAAACCTATATGAGTAAAAACAAAAGCAAAAATTATAAAAACAAATACTGATTGTTTTTGTAACAAGATATTATCTAAGTGAATCTAGAAGAAGGATGAATGTTATCTATACTAGAGTCCATTTCACTGCTTCAGTTCGTCAGTAGAACGGCAAAAATAAGAAATTGGGAGACCATTGTGCAATAATATGTGGAAAAGTATATTCATAATGTACATGAATGACATTTGTACATCTTGGATTGCTTCTAGTTTGGCTTATAAAGTGTGTGGCCTCTTATATTTGGATGTTTCTCTGCCATGTTATTTTCAATAAGATTAACATGGCTGAAATTCTTTAAATTACAAGACGACACAGGCTTATTGCACAAAAAACTAAAAAATCTGAAATATACAAATGTCATTCATGTACATTATGAATATACTTTTCCATATATTATTGCACAATGGTCTCCCAATTTCTTATTTTTGCCGTTCTACTGACGAACTGAAGCAGTGAAATGGACTTTATATGATGTTTTGTTAGGAATAATGCCATCAAGTTCAAAGTTTTGTTGTCCTGTCAAAATAATGATCACTTAATATACTGGGAACTGGGCCTGTGGCTATTGTATTGTTCTTTTATTATTCGCAACAATCCAGCAGTGTTTTCCTTCTTTGGATTATCTAATTATTTTAGAATTCAAATTATCGTATAATTGTCTCTTTCCGAATAAAAATAAAGACAGAAAAATCAAAGTAAAATGTTACAAAAATAATTGCTTAATAATAATTAATTAAGTGTAATCTCACCTTTTTGTATTTGATAAAGAAGCTGCATTCACATTGGTAAATAATATTCCTGAGTTGGAAAATAATTCAAGCAGAAAAAATAATTTGAAAACTTTGAAATACATTTCAAGTCCAAGTCCCATAATATAAACTGTGAAGTTGAATCCAACGTGCTCCCATGCAGTATGAAACACTCTGCCAGAACCTTAGAATATACGGCTTGGAGCGCATCCTATAGTTTCACGCTAGTTTTATTGCAAGTGGAATTTTGAAATTCGAGCCGAAACTTCCGGCAAAGTTTGTTCCATGACATACCAGCAATATTCTATCATTTCTTTTGACTGATTATAAGATTATAAGTGAATTACGATTTATAGGCATGCTTGCCTGTTAATCGATCATTGCAAGGACCTCATTGTCCTTAGGTTGTTGCATAAAAAGTTAAAATTAAATGATAAGAAATTTTTCTGAAGTATAAGATAAGGATCGTTAGATTCTTCATTCTAAACAATTATCGATTTTTCAAAGTAAAATTTAAAGTGATTTAAGGATGTTCCCTGGTCAGATAGGAAAATATTCAATAGTATTTAACTTTTTCTCAAAAATGGTTTTCTGGGATTCTCACGGGCAACAAAGAATATTAAAACTTTAAAAACCATATGTTAGTGTGCTTTTTTCTGAGCAAGAGGCCTCTAAAGTGTCAATATTTGACAAAAGTGGGCGTGGCACTTTCTCATTGAAACCCATGTTAAAAATCAGGTTTTCACCCCAAAACACACTTTTGAATATTTAACTTTTTCTTAAACTCACAGAAACACTTAGTTATGCTATGTACTTCACATTTTTAAAAGAAAAATTAGGGGTTGGTGTTCATCGTTTTCAACTTCGTCCAGGGAACATCCTTAAGGGTCAATATAACCTACTAGATTTGTTTTGCTCATCGTATAGGAAAAGTAGTACTTAATACACTAGTTCGCTACTTTGTAGATGTATGGCACGTATATGTGTACATGTATTGGCAATTAATGTTTGGTGATAGCTAGTAGGAGTGTCAGGGACCGCTGACAGATTATTATTTTGAACCAAAAAATTGAATTATATTTTTGGCGGTCTCAGTAAATCAATGGGGTAATCAGGTCCTACGTGCTTTTTACAGGCCCAGAAATCAATGCTCGCTTATAAATGTAGCAAAATCTTTTTTCGTTCGTGGGATATTCTTTTCACCATATAACCGAACGGGAAGTTTTTGAATAGGACTACATGATCTGAATGGATGTGAGGATTCGATGGGCTGGGATTTGAGAAATTATGATTTGAACTTTGCCAATTTTACATGTATTCCAATGGGTGAAAAAGTAAGTTGCTTTCTACCTAATATCAACCACATTTATTAGTGAATTTCGAGAAATATGTCGAATTTAGCCATATTTCGCATATATTTCTATGGAACCATTTAAAGTTTTGCAAATTAACCCCTAAAATTCTGGAGACGACGATCTAAATTTTGCTGAGTCAGCAATTTTCGTTTTTTTCATTGAAAACAGTACTTTTCAGCCTAAATTGCTACATTTCTGCTCTCTTATCAAGTAATTTGATGCAGTTCTTGCCAAATTAAAGGAAACACACCCCAAACGTTCCACAGTGTGCGAAGTTCCAACATTTTGACCCTTTAAACCCACGAAAGACCCAATTTTAAAGGGACGTATTCAGTAAACCTGCACAAAAGACAATGCTACTTGAACTAGCCATCAGAAGTTCATGAAAAACGAAAAATCAATGATATTCAGTTTAGTAAAGTAGCAAATAGTCCTACTTATGAGAGAATATAAATCACTTAAGCAATTTGTACAACTTTAAACAGCTGTTTTAAGTAGATTAGTATCGTTATGGGCAAAAATCCCCCAAAATAGCCCAAAATTTGTCCAAAAATTCAAAATTTTCATGCTCAAGGCTGAATTTTTTTGCCTATTTTGCTACATTTATCAGTGCAGTGACAAGAAGTCTTGTGGATAGCGCAACTTTTCCTGAACGTTTCTCTAATAAGATATTTTAATGACAAAATAACTACATTTAGTCTGAAATAAATTGTCACAAAATATAATGACCCCAGGGGTCAAGAGAACCCTATAAAATCAAAAGTGCTGAGGGGATTTGAGCAAAAATGTACATATCACTTCATAAAACCCCGAACTTTAAAATTCATATTGAATAAAATGCATATTCAGTCAACCATGACACTAATAGGGTCAATATAACCTACTTGAGATTTGTTTTGCTCATCGTATAGGAAAAGTAGTACTTAATACACTAGTTCGCTACTTTGTAGATGTATGGCACGTATATGTGTACATGTATTGGCAATTAATGTTTGGTGATAGCTAGTAGGAGTGTCAGGGACCGCTGACAGATTATTATTTTGAACCAAAAAATTGAATTATATTTTTGGCGGTCTCAGTAAATCAATGGGGTAATCAGGTCCTACGTGCTTTTTACAGGCCCAGAAATCAATGCTCGCTTATAAATGTAGCAAAATCTTTTTTCGTTCGTGGGATATTCTTTTCACCATATAACCGAACGGGAAGTTTTTGAATAGGACTACATGATCTGAATGGATGTGAGGATTCGATGGGCTGGGATTTGAGAAATTATGATTTGAACTTTGCCAATTTTACATGTATTCCAATGGGTGAAAAAGTAAGTTGCTTTCTACCTAATATCAACCACATTTATTAGTGAATTTCGAGAAATATGTCGAATTTAGCCATATTTCGCATATATTTCTATGGAACCATTTAAAGTTTTGCAAATTAACCCCTAAAATTCTGGAGACGACGATCTAAATTTTGCTGAGTCAGCAATTTTCGTTTTTTCATTGAAAACAGTACTTTTCAGCCTAAATTGCTACATTTCTGCTCTCTTATCAAGTAATTTGATGCAGTTCTTGCCAAATTAAAGGAAACACACCCCAAACGTTCCACAGTGTGCGAAGTTCCAACATTTTGACCCTTTAAACCCACGAAAGACCCAATTTTAAAGGGACGTATTCAGTAAACCTGCACAAAAGACAATGCTACTTGAACTAGCCATCAGAAGTTCATGAAAAACGAAAAATCAATGATATTCAGTTTAGTAAAGTAGCAAATAGTCCTACTTATGAGAGAATATAAATCACTTAAGCAATTTGTACAACTTTAAACAGCTGTTTTAAGTAGATTAGTATCGTTATGGGCAAAAATCCCCCAAAATAGCCCAAAATTTGTCCAAAAATTCAAAATTTTCATGCTCAAGGCTGAATTTTTTTGCCTATTTTGCTACATTTATCAGTGCAGTGACAAGAAGTCTTGTGGATAGCGCAACTTTTCCTGAACGTTTCTCTAATAAGATATTTTAATGACAAAATAACTACATTTAGTCTGAAATAAATTGTCACAAAATATAATGACCCCAGGGGTCAAGAGAACCCTATAAAATCAAAAGTGCTGAGGGGATTTGAGCAAAAATGTACATATCACTTCATAAAACCCCGAACTTTAAAATTCATATTGAATAAAATGCATATTCAGTCAACCATGACACTAATAGGGTCAATATAACCTACTTGAGATTTGTTTTGCTCATCGTATAGGAAAAGTAGTACTTAATACACTAGTTCGCTACTTTGTAGATGTATGGCACGTATATGTGTACATGTATTGGCAATTAATGTTTGGTGATAGCTAGTAGGAGTGTCAGGGACCGCTGACAGATTATTATTTTGAACCAAAAAATTGAATTATATTTTTGGCGGTCTCAGTAAATCAATGGGGTAATCAGGTCCTACGTGCTTTTTACAGGCCCAGAAATCAATGCTCGCTTATAAATGTAGCAAAATCTTTTTTCGTTCGTGGGATATTCTTTTCACCATATAACCGAACGGGAAGTTTTTGAATAGGACTACATGATCTGAATGGATGTGAGGATTCGATGGGCTGGGATTTGAGAAATTATGATTTGAACTTTGCCAATTTTACATGTATTCCAATGGGTGAAAAAGTAAGTTGCTTTCTACCTAATATCAACCACATTTATTAGTGAATTTCGAGAAATATGTCGAATTTAGCCATATTTCGCATATATTTCTATGGAACCATTTAAAGTTTTGCAAATTAACCCCTAAAATTCTGGAGACGACGATCTAAATTTTGCTGAGTCAGCAATTTTCGTTTTTTCATTGAAAACAGTACTTTTCAGCCTAAATTGCTACATTTCTGCTCTCTTATCAAGTAATTTGATGCAGTTCTTGCCAAATTAAAGGAAACACACCCCAAACGTTCCACAGTGTGCGAAGTTCCAACATTTTGACCCTTTAAACCCACGAAAGACCCAATTTTAAAGGGACGTATTCAGTAAACCTGCACAAAAGACAATGCTACTTGAACTAGCCATCAGAAGTTCATGAAAAACGAAAAATCAATGATATTCAGTTTAGTAAAGTAGCAAATAGTCCTACTTATGAGAGAATATAAATCACTTAAGCAATTTGTACAACTTTAAACAGCTGTTTTAAGTAGATTAGTATCGTTATGGGCAAAAATCCCCCAAAATAGCCCAAAATTTGTCCAAAAATTCAAAATTTTCATGCTCAAGGCTGAATTTTTTTGCCTATTTTGCTACATTTATCAGTGCAGTGACAAGAAGTCTTGTGGATAGCGCAACTTTTCCTGAACGTTTCTCTAATAAGATATTTTAATGACAAAATAACTACATTTAGTCTGAAATAAATTGTCACAAAATATAATGACCCCAGGGGTCAAGAGAACCCTATAAAATCAAAAGTGCTGAGGGGATTTGAGCAAAAATGTACATATCACTTCATAAAACCCCGAACTTTAAAATTCATATTGAATAAAATGCATATTCAGTCAACCATGACACTAATAGGGTCAATATAACCTACTTGAGATTTGTTTTGCTCATCGTATAGGAAAAGTAGTACTTAATACACTAGTTCGCTACTTTGTAGATGTATGGCACGTATATGTGTACATGTATTGGCAATTAATGTTTGGTGATAGCTAGTAGGAGTGTCAGGGACCGCTGACAGATTATTATTTTGAACCAAAAAATTGAATTATATTTTTGGCGGTCTCAGTAAATCAATGGGGTAATCAGGTCCTACGTGCTTTTTACAGGCCCAGAAATCAATGCTCGCTTATAAATGTAGCAAAATCTTTTTTCGTTCGTGGGATATTCTTTTCACCATATAACCGAACGGGAAGTTTTTGAATAGGACTACATGATCTGAATGGATGTGAGGATTCGATGGGCTGGGATTTGAGAAATTATGATTTGAACTTTGCCAATTTTACATGTATTCCAATGGGTGAAAAAGTAAGTTGCTTTCTACCTAATATCAACCACATTTATTAGTGAATTTCGAGAAATATGTCGAATTTAGCCATATTTCGCATATATTTCTATGGAACCATTTAAAGTTTTGCAAATTAACCCCTAAAATTCTGGAGACGACGATCTAAATTTTGCTGAGTCAGCAATTTTCGTTTTTTCAT